GAGAGCACACTCCCCTAGGGGGGCTCCTTGGCTTATTGTCCGGGTTCTGGATGTGGTTTTCCCCAGCCTCACCTGATGCTCCCTGTCTGTCAGAAAGCTAGTAATCCACTGACAGGTGGGGGCAGGCACAGTGAGCTGGGTCAGTTTGAGGTAGAGGATGTCTGGGATGATGGTGTTGAACGCTGAGCTGAAGTCCACAAAGAGGACCCGTGCATGGGTCACAAATATGTTTTGGTATGTTGGCATTCTGTATGTGTTTATACTACAGGTACGCTATATGTAGTAGCTGATTGCATTTTGTTATGCTTTACTGTTTAAATGTGCATATTATTGACAAACTGATTATTTAAAAAACTATTATTATTTCTGTTGGCATTGTCAATTACAAGCTACCAGTACTGTGAGCATAGTTTGTCGTCACTGAGAATCCCAGGCGTTGAGAATACTTGCTGTAAAGACAAACAGAACGCTGTTAACTTCCCCGTTTGTTTTTTTTGTTGGTTTTTTTTCTTCTTCTTCAAAATAAGGGGAGACCAAGAGGGAGTTGTTGGCAGAAAACACAATCTCTTCTGCTTTACAGAATCTCCTGGCGTTCCCACAGTGCTGCACACATGCTAACAGAGCGCCATTGTTCTGACCGACACAGATTTCACTTTCTATGCTTGTGAGGATTTTCTCTCAACTGTATTTATTCATCATACCAGCATTACTTTGTATACTGCATCCTAAAAAGTGAGAAGAGGTAGATGCTGAGGTGTAATTCTGTACCCGTGATTAGGTTTGACACACACCACCGGTAGTGCTGACACTTTGGAGGTGTTTCTGTGCACCAATGAGACTAAATACCAGTATCTGTATCCCCAGCACTATGTCACTATTCTCTGGGTCCGGCTTCTTCAATCTGAATACTTGCTGGTTGGTCGTAACAGACCAAATAAGGCTATCTAAGACCCCCAATTGTACTGAATGGAGCAAAGGTGGAGGGCTCATGAATTCATCTTTTTATTTGAAGAAGAAAAAGAAAATGTTATTTGCTCAAATCAAACTTGGTTTTAACGTCTTGCATAAAAAAACAGAATAAAAAAAAAACATTTGCTTGTCATGTAGTGATGTATTTAGTGTAAACTGTGTGTGTGTGTGTGTGTGTGTGTGGACGTGGACGTGTTTTCCCTGCTACGTGGGGACTTCTTCCTGACTCCATACCAACTCATGAGGATCCATTTCACGGTGGGGACCTAAATTGAGGTCCCCATGGG